TTTATATTCATAGTTACCAGTCATAAAAGCAGTTTTTCTGTGGCTGATGGGCTGCAAATTCACTCCTCTGTACCCTTCTAAGTTAAATATGGGCGTTGAAATGTAAGTGCTGTTATCGTAGTTTGATTACCTTCTGCACCCTCCATCCCCAAATGGAGTAAAGTGGGGTCAAGTAGTCTCATAAGCTCTAAGCCCCTTTCCAAAGCCTTTCTGGCAGCAGGCCTGACAATACTTAGGGCATGAGCACAGAGAGTCTAGCTTGGACTCCTTCGTCATCCCTGTGCACGTGCTCTGGCTTGGCTGCTGGGTGTTGGCCAGAGTGGTCATGGAGCAGGGCCAAGGTATTATGTATGAAAAAGCACTTGGTCAGGTTTCAGTTCTCCATGATTAGACTGAAAGATTTAGTTGCCAATTGTCATCAACCAGATTTCTCACACTTTGCCTGATGAGTTACGTGTTGATATCCAAAAGGAACCAGAAAGCTCTAGAAGTTTTGGGTTCTTATTTTAAATCACCATCCAGTGAATAGAGGCTCTTAACAGTCTGTGATCTTCTGCCTTGTCTAATATCAGGGTTTTATAGGAGGGATTATTGCTCTTTCAATAATAAAAAGGCTTGAAAGGCTTTTACATTTTATTTATACTTTTTTTATATATGAATAATTAAAATATGATAGCGTGCATTATATATGTACTAAAGAACAGCAAAGATAGTTTTTAGAAAATGTCCCGCTTCTTCCTTTTGAGATACTAGAGGTCAGAGGATGCTGTTCCGTAAGTTCCTCTTAAGATATGTTACCAGTCTGTTTATTTTGGCAAGATAAACTGTTAAGACTTAACAAATGATGTCTGCAAAGCACGTGCTTTGTTAAGTATATAAACAGGCCACAGATGTTTCTTTGGGAAGAAACTATTTTACTCATCTCTGTATTCCAATGCTTCGCTCTCAGCATTCAATATATTTTTGTTGAAGGCGTAAAACCACCCTTTTTTCTTGGTGCTAATAATCCATCAAGCACTCTGCATGGTCATTTTAGCTGTGTTTCTTCATTTTATATATCTTTTTTAGTCCTCAGACCACCAGAGATAATTTTATTATGTCATATTTGATACAGATAAAAAATAAAACATGATGTTCTAAAACATTATGAAGTCACCGTGAGTGAACCCGTGACTCAACCCAGTAGCATTACCAGTACCGCATTGATGGTACCAGTGTGTTCATCCTAATCCTGGGACCCCAGCTGCTCCCCTCTTCCATCCCTGCAAGAGAAGTGACCACTGTTCTGAATGTTGTCTATTCTTTTGCTTTAAAATTTTGGGAGTGCCTGGGTGGCTCAATCGGTTGAGTGTCCATCTTCAGCTCAGGTCATGGTCTTACTGTTTGTGGGTTTGAGCCCCACATCGGGCTCTGTGCTGACGGTTCAGAGCCTGGAGCCTGCTTCCGATTCTGTGTCTCCCTCCCTCTCTGCTCTTCCCCCACTCACGCTCTGTCTCTCTCTCAAAAATAGATAAACATTTTAAAAAATTTAAAAAATAAAGATTTTGATCACTTCTGTGTACAGGATGTATCGTTGTGTGAGTGTTATACCACAGTTTTTCTCTGTTCTGCTGTAAGTGAACTTTGGAGTTTCCCTTTTTTTTACCATTACAAACAGCATTACAGTAAACATTCTTCTGCATGTTTACTAGTATATATTTGCGAGAGGTTTTCTAAGGTACCTCCAAGTGGAATTTTTGGATGCTGGGATATGTAAATGTTCAGTTTTACAAGATAGTTTCAAATTGATTGCTGAATTGATGGGACCCACTACATGTTCAGCAGTGGTGTGTGCGAGTTCCCATTGATCCATGTCTTCACCATCATAGTTTTGCCAAACTTGTAAGTATATGATATGGTCTTGATTTGCTTTCCCAGGTGCGGATAATATTGAACATCTTTATATAAATATAGGATTTCCATGGTTAGTCTTATGAAATGTTTGTTCAGTCCATTGCCCATTTCCCTATCAGGTTGTCTTTTTTCTTACTGCCTTTTTTTTTTTTTTTAAATGTTTATTTTTAAGAGAGAGATACAGAGTGCAAGCAGGGGAGGGGGGCAGAGAGAGAGAGAGAGAGAGAAACACAGAATCTGAAGCAGGCTCCAGGCTCTGAGCTGTCAGCACCCAACATGAGGCTCGAATTTACAAACTGTGAGATCGTGACCTGAGCCAAAGTCAGACACTTAACCGACTGAGCCACCCAGGTGCCCCTTTCTTACTCCTTTGTAGACATTTTTCATATATTCTGTACCCTAATTTTTTTTGTCAGTTACTTGTTGCAGATTTATCCTCCTGGTTTTGTGGCTCTTCTTTTCACTTTATGGTACCTTTTTTCTTATTCCTAACTTGGGTTAATGTTAGATTTACAGAAAATTGCAAAGAGTACTTTTTACCTAATTTCTTCTATCATTACCATGTTATATTATCATGGTACACTTGTCAAAACTAAGAAATTAACATTAGATGCATTGTTATTAACTAAACATTTAGTCTTTATTTGGATTTCATCAAATTTCTACCAGTTATTTTTCCTTTCTGGGATCTAATCCTGGACACCATATTGCATGTAGACTTTATGGTATTGTTTGATGAACAAATGTTCTTCATCTTAGTGGAGTTGAACTTACTGTCATTTCTTTTATTAGGAGTGTCTGGTTGGCTCAGTCAATAGAGTTTGTGGCTCTTGGTCTCGGGGTAGTAAGTTTGAGCCCCATGCTGGGTGTCGAGATTACTTTAAAAAAAAAATGATTTGCATTATTAGTTCCTTGTTTCAGACACCTATCTTTCCTGTGTTTTCTTCTAAATGTTTTTAAAGTTTGCCTTTCATGATTTTACCATCTTAGAATTTAATTTTGAATATGGTATCAAATAAGGATTCAGTTTCCTTTTTGTTCTCATGGATAACAGATTTGTCCAGCGATATTTCTTTATGTGTCTGTTTTTCCCCGTTTTATTGAGAAATAATTGACATACATTCCCTTGTAAGTTTAAGGTGTATAGCATGATGGTTTGATTTACATATATGTGAAATGGTTGCCACAATAGGTTTATTAGTTAATATCTATCATCTCATATAGATACAATAAAAAGAAGACAATTTTCTCTTCAGATCTCAAATAACTTTCCTGTATATCACACAGCAATGTTAACTGTAGTCATCATGTTGAACATTACTTCTCTAGTACTTATGTATCTTATAACTGAAAGTTTGTACGTTTTGACCACCTTCCTCTAACCATTTACACACACACACACACACACACACACACACCACCCCACATCTGCTAACCACAAATCTGATATCTTTTTCTGAGTTTGGTGGGCTTTTGTTTTTTGGTTCTGCATTTACATGAGATCATGTAGTATTTGTCTTTTTCTGACTTATTTCACTTGGCATAGTACCTTCAACGTCTATCCATGTTGTCACAAATGGTAGATTTTCCTCATTTTTTTTAAGTGGCTGGAAAATATTCCATTGTGTATCTATACCGTAATTTCTTTATTCATCTGTCGATGGACACGTAGGTTGTTTCCATGTCTTGTCTGTCATAAATAATGGTGCTATTAACATGGGGTTGCAGATTATCTTTTTGAGTTTTTATTTCCTTTGGATATATTCCCAGAAGTAGAATTGCTGGATCATATGGTAATTCTATTAATTTTTTGAGGATTCTGTATACTGTTTTCCATAGTGGCTGTAGCAATTTATGATCCCACCAACAGTGCATAAAAAGTTCTCTTTTCTCCTAATCCATGCCATCATATATATCATTTATTATTTTTTTAAAAAGCTTATCCATTTATTTTGAGAGTGAGAGCGTGTGTGGGAGGGGCAGAGAGAAAGAATCCCAGGCAGGCTCTAATGGAGTGAGATCTTTGCTCCAATTTTAACCTCATTGTTGGTATATAGGAAACATCACAATGGGTTTTTTGTTTGTTTGTTTTTAATATCTTACCACCTTACCTAATAACTATTCTAATAGTTCTAAGTTTAATCTCCTTGGATTTCTTTTTCTGAATATCACCTGCAAATAATCTTTTTTTTTTTTTTTGCTTTTCTTTCCAGTTTTTTGCACTTACTCCTTTTCCTTGCTGTATCAGCTAGGCCCTCCAGGTGTTAAATAATAATTTTATTAGGACTGCCTAGTTTACTCTTAAGAATGTCACCATTTAGGGGTGCCTAGGAAGCCCAGTCAGTTAAGTGTTGGACTTTGGCTCAGGTCATGATGTCGCAGTTCATGAGTTTGAGCCCTGTGTCAGGCTCTGTGCTGACAGCTGACAGCCTGGAGCCTGCTTCAGATTCTGTCTCTGGTTCTCTCTGCCCCTCCCCTGCTCACCCTATGTGTTTGTCTCTCTCTCTCTCTCAAATATAAACAAACATTAAAAATTTTTTTTTAAGTTTTAAGTCATTTTGTGAAAAATTTACAAAAGAATGAAGGGGAAAATGAAAAGAATGTCATAATATAATTTAATAAGGACTTAACATCTATGAAGTTCTCCCTACATATTCTTAAATATGCTGATTAGACCAGTCTGTTTTCATCATTCTTCACTTTTTCTGAAATCATTTAAAAGTGTATAGTAAGTACACAGTATTTTTATTCTAACAGGTCTCTTGACTACAGAGAAATGTTAACAATTTTAATTTGAAAAATACATGTTCCATGAAGTACTGAACAGCTAGTTTTCTTAAAAAGTAAACATTAATTTCTGTTTGCTTAAGCATTATTTAGATTAAGTTAGAAAGATTTTAGAAGGTTTAATAAAAAGCTTACACATTTTTACTGCAGTGTTTGATTAATTTTAGAATGTGCTCAGTCAGCGAGATTATTGAATAATTGGGAACCTTTGCTAAAGGAAAAACTCATAAAACTATTTATATGTATAACTGTGTAACTCTTGTTATAATTCCCATCTTCTTTCTCCAGCCATTTGTTTTATGAGTGTTCTTTCCTCTTAGCTTGATAAAGATGACATGGTGTACATGGAAGCCTATGACAAATTGCTGGAATCCTGGCTAACTTTGGTCCAAGACGACAAACATTTCCACAAAGGCTTTTTTACCCAACATGCAGTTCAAGTTTTCAATTCCTATATTCAGTGCCACCTCGCTGCTCCAGATGGCACGAGGAATTTGGTAAGCTTCAAGCTGGATTGTAAGTAAAAATGCATTTCATCATAGCTCTATTTCGTCTCATTTTTCCTATTATACATTGCATAATACTAGAAATTTAGGGGGACCATCCTCAGAAGGTTCGCGGAGAGCATTAGCGAGCAAAAGTAACCCTGTTGTCTAAATGAGTTCACATTGTGGGTGCTGCTTGGTAGTTACCCCGTTTCTCTTCAGTTTTCAGTTATCCGCCTATGTCTTCCTACTTGTTGAGTGGTATAAATGACTTCTTGCATATAAAGCTCCATGGATCTTAAAGATGTCAGATCTTTTCAGTGACAGAAGTTAAATCCTCAGGGGTGGGAGGTGGGTTGTGAATGCAGTTTGCTGTGTTTACATATGTGCACCATGGGGTGATACCTTCTATTTCTTGCTCTTCTGTGTCCCCCCGCCACCTCCTTCTTTTGGAATGACCAGCACTGTCATTCCAACAGGCTCTAGACCACTGGGTTGGCTCCGTCCAGCTCTCCTCCTTGTGTGAAGTGCCGAAGTTATTTTACAGTGCAACAGAAATGCATGATTTGTTGCACAAAGAGTGCAGCTCCTCACTCTTTATTTCTCTCATTGATAATAGACTGCCAATGGTGTGGCCTCTCGTGAGGAAGAAGAAATAAGTGAACTTCAAGAGGATGATCGAGACCAGTTTTCAGATCAACTAGCCAGTGTAGGAATGCTAGGAAGGATTGCTGCAGAACACTGTATACCTCTTCTGACAAGGTACACACAGTCCAAAGAAACCCCATGGAGCAAATACTCTCTATTCACAATTCCCTGGAGAGCACTTAAAGTGTTTAAAGACTTTAAACACCCCCACCCCGTATCCCAGCACACTGGAACAAACGGACAGAAACATACTCATGGTTGCATTCCTTGGCTTGTACATTTGGAGCCCAGGCACCACAGCATAGATGGCAGAGAGATTGTGGAAAACATGGTATGAGAATGATTTGACCCATGTCAATAAAAACTTGGAATGACCAGTTTTCGAATGCCTATTGTAAGCCTTGATTGTTTGTAAAGCAATGTTTTAATTCTATGTCATAAAGAATAAATCACAATTCCTATACTGCTATGAGAACAGCTGTGTACTACAATAAATATTTTCATATATGTGCTTTTGTGCTAACATCTTAATTTATGTTGTCTCATAAATGGAAATTATGTATACAGTTTGTTCTAGATCTTTGCGTATTGAACTTTATGAAACTTTGGGTTTTTCCCCCCCTTTTTAGCCTATTAGAAGAAAGAGTAACGAGGCTCCACGGTCAGTTACAGCGGCATCAGCAGCAGTTACTTGCTTCACCTGGTTCGAGCACTCTAGACAACAAAATGCTTGATGATCTGTATGAAGATATTCACTGGCTTATTTTAGTTACAGGTTGGTTGGTTGTTTCCTTCTGAAGTGTAATCGCCAACTGGGCAGTTTAAAGTTCTTATGTGTTAGAAGAAGCTTCATATGTTAAAAATAAGTTCCGTACGTAGTGTTGGATGAAATTTGAATACGGATGCTGTATATCACAGAGCTAGGGATGCATTTTGTAAAAATATTGGCTGACATGCATATTTAGTGTCTGTTGCATACCAAATGTCTTATGTGGAATTCATTGCAGCCCAGTAACTTAGTACTGTTGTCAGGTTTCATTATTATTACTATCCTCATCTTGCAAATGAAGAAGCTGGAAGAGAGAGTTTTAAGAAAGTAGCCTGTGGTCACACTGCTATTAATTTCCGGAGCCAGAATGCAAATCTAGGCAGTCTGACTTGTAGGGTCTTCTTTTATAACCATACTGTCAATGTTTCTGTGTTTTTAATAATCAAGAAAAAAAAAATCTTAATTTTGGAAAAGGCACTCCCAAATATTGACTTTTGATATAGATAATAGAATTCCTATTAATTTTACAGAATATAGTACTAAAAGTTATTAAAAGATAGTAGATTAAAAAGCCTACCTATCAGTGTGAATTATAAAATTGGTGAATAAAATATTTGTCCTTTGTATTTTGAGAGTTAATTATCTGAGAAATAGTTTCTACTCATCAAACTTGAAATTAACATTAACATTTATAATTTACTTTTACATCAACTTAATATGTATGTAAATCAGATAAAACTGAGAACATTTATAGTGCAATTTGATAAATGTAGATTTGTTAAGTGTTCGTTTTTAATTTTTTTTAAACTGAAGGCTACCTCTTAGCTGATGATACTCAGGGAGAGACTCCGCTAATACCTCCAGAAATAATGGAATATTCCATTAAGCATTCATCTGAAGTTGACATTAATACAACACTTCAAATTTTGGGATCTCCAGGAGAAAAGGCTTCTTCCATCCCAGGGTACAACAGAACAGATTCTGTGATTAGGTAATATGAACTCTATAGCTGTGCTCTTGTAATTGATAATGTTTTAAATAAATTCTGAGTTGATGGGTAGATGACTCCTGTGTTGGCCACATTGTAAATCTGATACGTGAAAGAAAATAAAACTTGGAGAAGCCTTGAAATAAACAAGGATGGCAGGTACTGGGTATATTTAAGCAGTGCCACTCTGGTGAGAATTGACAGCTATATCCTGTACTGAGGAAAACACTTGTCAAATTATTCTGGATACAGTGTAAGTTTGAAGGGACATGTCCCTTGGCCATCAGAAAGCAGTGCTGATGTGGCGCAGGTGCCCTAAATGAGTGAGTCAAAGTCTGTGAGCCTCCTAGACACCAGGTGAACATTGGCAAGTTTTTATTGTTCATAAAGCTAAAACTACATTTCAGTGGCTTTCTGAAGGAAAACTATGATTCTTACCTTATAAAATTGAAGTATTTGTTCTGAATATGTGAAACTTTTGAGTGTCCTGTCAGGTAAAGTTAGAAGACAATTGTGTGCCTCAAATGAGAATTCACTTTGATCTTCCTAGGAGTAGTGGCAAAATTTTCATTAATTCTTAATGGTGAAATTAAGGAAGGATAAACCTAGACCGAATATCCTCCTACAAGTGGATTTAAAACCAACATTTGAAATTTCAGTATCTTTAAAGTTAAGTTGCAGGCAGATACACCAATAATGAAATAACACTGGTTTTTGTCAATTGCAGAATCAGTAACTCAAGCAGGGTGCTGTCCCCTTCATCTTTTCAATTTAATTCAAAAATACATGGATATCATTTATACCTGTGCAGTAGAAAACAGGATTTTTTTTTTTTTTAATGAACTATCAAGGAAACGTTTAGGAATTTATTTCCTTTATTGTTTTATTTTCTTGTTTGAAATAAAATATCAATGCTCTATTTTTGCAAAATTTTTATCTCTTCTTTTGGGGATTACTGTAGGCGCTAGGTTAATTGCTTGTGAAAATCATTGCTTTTGCTTTGGTTTGATTCATGGTGAATGTTAATTTCAAAGGCAGCTCATTTCAGAGGGCTGCCATATTATATTCTTTGTCATATTTCTTGCCTGGGCAGTACCATCAGGTATGCTTTCCTTGTATTTTCAGTGCTTTTTCAATTTTTGCCAGTCTAAGGTATCAGTGTGGGAGCAAAATATTTTTGTATCTGAGAGCACAGACTATGGAGGGTTGGAAAACAAACCAAAAAAACAAACAACAACAACAACAAAAAACCCTATTTTTTTTTTTAAGTCCAAAGAATTAATGTGAAATTGAAAGGCGTATGAGAGAAACATTCCTTGTTTGTAAAAAAGTTCACATTTCTTGAAGAATTTATCCTCTAACAAATAATTAATTGAGTACCAGGTACTGTTGTAGGCATTTGGGATACATCAGTGAGCAAAGCAGACAAAAATCATTCCTCCTTTAAAGCTCCTTGTAGGAGAAAGATAATGAATGGATGAGAGGAAGGAAGGAAGGAAGGAAGGAAGGAAGGAAGGAAGGAAGGAAGGAGGGTGGGAGGGAAGGAAGAAGGAAGGAAGGAAGGAAGGAAGGAAGGAAGGAAGGAAGGAAGGAAGGAAAAATAGTGTTAGAAGACTACGTGCTCTAGATAAGAAACTGAACAGGGTGAGGGGATTTGGAGCGCAGATTCGGGGACTGTGTGTAATTTTAAGTAGTGTAATCAGTAACAGACTTCATTTGGAAGGTGACTTGTCAGCAAAGACTTCAGGTTGGTGAGGGAGACCGTGAAGGCCTGGGGAAGAGTATTCCAGGCAGAGCGAACAGGGAATGCTAAGGCCCTGTGGCACGTCTGGCATATTCAGGCAATAGTAAGCACTGCCATTGTGGGTTGAGCAGAATGAGGTGGAATTTTGTCAGGAGATCAAGATAGAAGGGAAAACAGAGGGATATCAGATCAAGGCTTTAGCCTTTGCTCTGAATGAAGTAGGGTGCTGTCGTAAGGTTTGAGCAGAACTGTGCAAAAAGATTCCTCTGCTGCACTGAGAGTAAAGTATGAGGACAAAAATGGAAGCAGGGAGACCAATGAAGAGGCTAGTTGTAGTAATCCAAGAGAAAGATGATAGTGGTCTGAATCAGAGTGATAATAGCAGATGTGAGAAACTAACAAGCTCTGACTCATTTTGCAGACTTTTGGTTTATGAATGCAAAAGTAATTCAAGATTAATTTGTAGAGAATGGGAAACTGTGAGTGCTGTCTGAAATATGAAGTATGTTTAGATACCATACTTAAGAAATTAAAGTAGGATTAAAAATTGGAAATATCGGGGGGCCTGGGTGGCTCGGTCGGTTAGGCATCCAGCTTCGGCTCAGGTCATGATCTCACGGTCTGTGGGTTCAGGCCCCACATCGGGCTCTGTGCTCACAGCTCAGAGC